TTCCCAACATCAGGGTCTTTCTCAGGGAGTCTTCTCTTCTCATGAGATGGCCAAAGTATTGGAGCCTCAGCTTCAGGATCTGTCCTTCCAGTAAGCACTCAGGGCTGATTTCCTTCAGAATGGATAGGTTTGATCTTCCTGCAATCCATGGGACTCTCAAGAGTCTCCTCCAGTGCCATAATTCAAAAGCATTAATTCTTTGGCGATCAGCCTTCTTTATGGTCCAGCTCTCGCTTCCGTACATCACTACTGGGAAAACCATAGCTTTAACTATATGGATCTTTGTCAGCATTACCCTAGGGACATAAATTTGTTACCTAGAAGGTGGAAAACTCAGCAAGGTGTCATCCCTGCCTCCTCAGGAATCCCAGCTTCAGAGGAGCCTATGATGCCACCACCTGAAGATGGTGCGTTGTCCTTCTCAGGCTGCAGCTCAGAGGTGGTAGAAGAGCCCTAGACTCTTCTGCATTGCCCGAGTCAAAAGTTCTTGCACTCCTTTAAGATTAAGAGGCTTCACTCAAAGGGGTGGGACTGAGCGTTATTTTTCTAGAAAAAAAGAGGTGCCAGAACTCACCACGAATGCCTCCTTCATCCTTCTAGAATGGCAATGGTACCCACCTGACAGGTGCTGGAACTGAGTTCCCGTGAGTTCCCACTGAATAAAAGTCCTGGTGAGGCTCATTGTGCAGAGGAAGCTATGGTCCATTTTAAGACCCAGTCTGGGTTTGTTTATTGTTGAAGCAACCTAGGAATGGGAAAACTTTGGCTCTTAAGACGTTCTTGGACCCTAACTCCCAACAACCTCAATGAGCATGCCAATTGGGCAGGGATAATGAAAATTGTGCTCCATCAACATTGAGAGATCCACAGGGTCCCCTGCCCTAGGAGGAGCCTGGCAACAGTTGTCTGTCTACCCTTAAAGTGAATACAGAGGGAGAAACAAGCCTTCCAGTGTAATTCTCATATTATCAGACTGACTGTATACATTATATGTGGAATCTGTTTACAATCTATGAAAGCATTTTTTGAAGAAGAAAAAAGATCTATGCATAAGCAGCTGTGTAGTGAAAAGATTTCTAACACAGAGAGTTACACACACACACACACACACACACACACACACACACCCCCTCACACACCCTCCAGTGTTCATCTGTAGCAAAAGAAAATGCAGGGAATGAAATGTAACAGTATAAACTCGTTTAACAGAATATGGTTTTTCTGCAACAAATGCCAGCTGATACAGCAGAGTCGAAATAATCTGAAATGCACACCCACTTGCTTGCTAGGATAAATGCAGCATGGTTTGCTGCAGACGGTAAGCACAGAACAGAGAATATGTTAGAAATGCAGTTTCAGTGCCATAAAGCAGCAAAACCACTACCTCTGAGTGATGAATCGCAAAACAGCAAAACAATAGCCTCTTTGCACATAAGTTTAATGGGAACTGAAATAAGTTAGGGGATCTGGTCTCTAACGTGTGGTGGGTATGGTTGCATATAGAATGGAATGAAATGAACATTTAATTACTGCATCTTTCCTCTGTTTTTTTATGATGAAATATCAAAAGTAGATGAATGTAGGTCTATGAAAACCCGTTAAAGCAACCCATTTTTGGGGAGTGAGGTAGGGCAGGGGGGCACAAGATCAAAGAAGCAGCTATTTGCGTACACAGAATCTTGAAATGGTTGTCTGCTTTATACATTTCTATGAAAATGCCAAAAAAAAAAAACCCTCCCTAAAGAATGGTATGGGTCATTTCAATTTTTTTTAAATAATATGGACGATTGATTATTTTTAATTTCCAGCTGCCAAATTAAAGGACCTTTAAGTTTACATTTTGATGAGAAAGGCTTAAGCATGTGGAGTGAAATGGCATTCTGCTGAATGTCTGGAACTGAGAACTGCAGGTGAATAAAGTCCTCCATTCTGGAGTTGTAATTGCCTGTCAACATCCTGCCTCTTCTTTTAATCTGCCCAGCACCATCCTATACAGCACTGCATCAATGGGGAATTGGATCCAGCTTTTTAAAAGAATATTTCCAAAGTCTCTTCCATCATGCTTGTGGAGAATATCCCAAAAGGGGAGTTGGTGACTAGCACCTCAGTTGCTTTATTGAGGTCACTGCACTAAATCCAAGGACAGATTGTTGGGAGCAATAGATCAAAACTGCAAGCTTCTATTGGATACAGTGAGGCAGACAACTTTATTAGAAAATGTGATTTCTTATTTAAGGCCTTCCTACACAGATTTGATGCTTGCAGTTTTCCTTTTGACTAGTATTTTCTGATTTATTTATTTATTTTCATTTGGCATATGGTATGGGATTTGGGGAGTCTGATTTGCTGGAAGCAGACCATGCTGACATACAGAATAAGAGGAAAATCAAATTTCCTTTCCAGATTACTGGTGTGAATTTGGTTAATGCTAATAGTGTTTCAAAAGACACATCCTAAATTCCTCTTGAATGCCTTTCACTTGGTATCCGGTGGTTTTTTCTGACACAACTGTTCGTTTGTTTTTTTAAAAAACCCAAACCAAACAAAATACCCAAAGACTTGTTTAAAAATTCATTTAACATTCGTTCTGTGAACTCTGTCTCCTTATCTTATTCTCAATCAGTGTCATGAATCTCTCTCTTCCTAGATCAGATATTTGGTGGGATAGACTCCTGCCACAACAATTTCCCTTGGCTCTGAGTAGATTGGTGAGAGGGCACAGCCATCCCTACCATTAGAAAAAGTAAGGCAGTCTCCTCAGGCAGCTAATTTTAGGTGTTATGAAAGGGCAGCAAATTGTTAGCTATTTATTTTATGCAGTGCTGTCTTAAGCATATGCGGAGCCGGGGTGCAAAGATACGTCTGCCCCCCCCCCCCCCGTTGCCTAGTCCCAGGCGCACAGGAGAGTGGAGCTGGCCAGCCACCTCAGCGTCTCGCTGGCTCAGTTGCCCCTGAACTTGCAGAGCTGCCCACAGCAGAAGAGCCTGCCGCGGCACTCTGACCCACAGATGGGCTCTTCCCCAGACTCAGCTCTCAGGCCCTGGACTCTTGGCCTGGTGCCCCTGAGTGTCCAGAGCCCAGGTGCCCTGCACCCCTAGTGCCTATGGATAAGTCAGCCCTGATTTTATGTTTGTTTTGCATTTTTACTTCAAGGGAGGCAGAGAGGTGCCAGGAGGATTTTTTTTGCCTCTGTGAACCTAGTAACTTTGTTGGCCTAGGGTACTGTGCACAGTGGGGTGAGGTTGGGTGGGAACTTGCCGCTTTGCCTTAAGTGGCAAAATGTTTTGGGCCAACCCTGTGAGGCCTCACAGCCTCCTCCATTTTCCAACTAGTTTATGGATGCTTGGCAGCCATTTTGGCATCAGTGTATGTTCAATACTAGTATGTTTAGTCTTGCTGATTTATTCTGTGAACCACCCTGAGATCTTAGAATGAAAAGCGGTATTTGAATCCAATTAATGATGATGATGATGATGTCCTGGAGCTGAGAATAAGCTGTTGGCAAGGAAAGGCAAGACAGCTCTGTGACAAGAAGCTAGACTAAGGAGCGGCAGATTCCTCTTGTCGCTCCAGTCAGAATGGGGAAAAGCTTCAGCATGGCTAGGCTAGCTCTAAAATGGTTTGCATATAGATTGCATACAAAAATTGGGATATTGGGTTAAATTTGCACTAAAATGTTGATGAATTTTCTCTTTTCCTTTCATTTACAAATTTACCGGTATCTGTGTTTCCAGAATGTCCTCTAAGTGTGTAGAAGCAATTCCCCTGTTGTTGCTTTTTGAAGCTGACCCCAAGTTTGCTATGAGAGGGAGTGAAGATCTAAGCTGACCATGTTGTGTTTCCTCCTTGTGTTAGTGCAGCACCACTTTTGAGAAGCAGCCTCTGTGATAGATAACAGCAGAGAGCAGCAAGTCCCATTTTGCCACCTGAGGCAAAATAGGAAAATGCTGTTCTGCCGCCACTCCCTCCTTTACCAGGGTTGCATGGCAGCCCCCGCATATCAGTGGCAGTGAGACCTCTCAGAGCTCATGAGATCTCACAAGGTTTCAGCGAGATCTCACTGGAAACAGCCACCACTGGTACTTAAAAATAATTCTGGTGCTTTAATTCCCTAGCTTTGCATGTTTGCAGAGGTATCAGCCAGGGCTCACACATAGTGTTCTGTTGCATGCAATACCTGAAGAGGGGGAGTAAAGCTTTTACTGGAAATCTGCATTTTATGTTGGTGAAGTTTGTCTCTTTAATCAACATTGAGGATGACCCCTGAGGGGTTATATAAAAACCTTAACAGTTCAGGGCATTGAAAGTCAGCTGTTGTGTTAACCTATTCTTGAGTAGGTTGTATGTATGTATGGAGGGCATGGGTGTGGATGTATGGATGTCTGAGTGCTGGTTTTTGTTGATGTAAGTACATTTTACCTTTTAAACCTCCTCACCCTTATTTTTCATTCTTTATACTCTGCCTCTCTGCAATTTGCGCATAATATGTTTTCTCCCCCGTGCTGAGCTGTATATGTGGCTTATGATTTATGACATGAGTTGGAGTCTGCCGCGTGACTTATTAGCATCAAATCCCTGGCTGGGTTGTGCTATTGTAACTCATCCTCAAACTGAGTGCAGAAGGGGGACACTCATTGCCATCTTCAACAGAGGTATATTTCTGGCATCAAACTCGATGGGGATTTTTTCTATTTTATTGTGTCAGGTTCTAAGGGAAAACAGCTGTATATTTCTAAAATGGTTGGGATGAATGCAGCCGAAGCGATTTCCTACCTGTGCGATTATCTTTCAGGAAACACACACACACTGAGTCTGAGCAACCCCTTTGCCAGCCACATAAAAATTCTATTCCGGAAGAAATAACATATTGGCAGTTAACCGTCTTTACTTTTGAAAGCATATCTATGTAAACACATAGGTAGCTGCTAGTGATAACAGTGTCTTCATATACCGTATTTTTCGCCCCATAGGACGCACCGCCCTATAGGACGAACCTAGGGTTTTTTTGGGGGGGGAATAAAGAAGAAAAAAATTATTTTCCCCCCCCCCAGGCACAGGGCTGGCGTGGGGGATCCACCTTTCACCAGACTGCAACATGAGATCTACTTTTTTGGTAACGTGTGTCAATCTTCTTTAATTTTACTTGCCTGCCTGCCTTCTCTCTCACTCTCCCATTTTCTTCTTACCTGTTTCTTTTTTTAAAAAAATCTAATCGAAAAAGAAAATGTGTTGATGCTGAGTTGCTGCAACCCATTAGATGTGAATGTCACGTGTGGGTGTATAGATATAGATATATCCAGACAATGACATTGCAAATGAACAAAGAAGGCCTCAAATGAATACAGTATGTAGCAAGCACCCAAATCTTTAGAGTTTTAAAAACTCTTCCCATTGTTTCTTCCCATTCAATAGGAATGATGGCTTCTGATTTGGCCTGCATTACTTCCAACAGAGACCTACAGCGATTTCCCCAAACCTGGTTCCCTCCATGTGTTCAGAAGGCCGCTCCCATCATCTGTAGCCAGAATGGGCTTGGGCTGATGGGAGTTGTACAGTGGTACGTCAGGTTAAGTACTTAATTCGTTCCAGAGGTCCGTACTTAACCTGAAACTGTTCTTAACCTGAAGCAGCACGTTAGCTAATGGGGCCTCCTGCTGCCGCCGCGCCGCTGGAGCACAATTTCTGTTCTCATCCTGAAGCAAAGTTCTTAACCTGAAGCACTATTTCTGGGTTAATGGAGTCTGTAACCTGAAGCGTATGTAACCTGAAGTGTATGTAACCTGAGGTACCACTGTATTCCAAAATATCTAGAGGAGATCAGGTTGAGGAAGGCTGAGCTACAGTATTCAAAGCCACCAGTCTATCAGGTGGCTTAAACATAACTCCAAACTTCTGTGAAAGCAGATTATAATTGACTGCACCATTCTCCCCTCCTATGTGTGTGTTTGCTCTTCAATGTATCATGTGTTTCTATGTCTCATAAAAATCTCTAAGTGGTTCACAAAGTGATAAGTAGTGTGTGTTTGTGCGAGAGAGAGAGAGACAGAGAGAGAGAGAGAGAGAGAGAGATAAACATAAACATAAAATAATAAAATCCCAGAAAGGCAAAACAAAAGCAAAACAAAACCCCAACAAAACAAAACTTAGCAGCACAGTTTAAAAACATTGTAAGAGCTGAGGAAAGTTCGTCAGAATAGATGAGTTTTCAGCTTTTATTTGAAGTGCCTCATATCTGGTCCTCCTCTTATAATGCAATAGGGAGGCCATTCCAGAGAACTGCTGCTATCACAGGAGAGGCCTGCTTCCAAGAAACCATTAAATGACAGTCTGCCCAAGATAGTATATTTAGCAGGGCCTCCCCCAAAGCGGCTTCATCCAAAGCACTGACCCACATGCACGGAAACACGACAAATCTAGATATTGCATCTAGACATAAATTGAACAGAACAACTGTATTTACCTGAGAGGTTCGTCCCTGCTCATTAGTCTCGTAGAACACAGATTAATTTCAGTGGACCTGGTGTAAAAACAGGGCTTGATGAGGGGTAGGTAGAAAATGATATTACTGGGAAATTGCTTTGTCATTTTCTCACTGTTGAGAGCAGTAATCCATGCAGTTAATTCTTCTTTATTAATCACAGGCTGCATATAATATTAATAGGAAGGCTTCAATGGAAAAAAACACACAATTAAAATAAACTATTTATACCTCTTGTTTCCTCCTTTAGATGAAAGAATTTGTTACCTTTGTTGAATGTTCCCTAACCTGTATACAGACAATGGTATTTAATTTAGTTACTGAATTGACTGGTAAATTAAGAGCAAGCCAATTTAAAAGCCAGCCAATTAACTGTTTAAAAACCCTCAGTTAAATGCCTGCCATCACTTTTTGCCAATAGTACACACTTTCCCCCTTGATGATACTGGTTCAAAAATAGAAACAAAGTAACATAAGCAAGTAAGGATCTTTGCAGGAATTGAACAAATTGGCCTCCCCCCCTCCGAGTCTAGATTAGTTTTCAATTTGTTTACTCGTAAGTCTTATTGCTGCTATTAATATTATTATTATTATTATTATTATTATTATTATTATTATTACAGTGGAACCTCGGGTTAAGAACTTAATTCGTTCTGGAGGTCCCTACTTAACCTGAAACTGTTCTTAACCAGAGGTACCACTTTAGCTAATGGGGCCTCCCACTGCCGCCGCTGCACCGCTGCCACACAATTTCTGTTCTCATCCTGAAGCAAAGTTCTTAACCCAAGGTACTATTTCTGGGTTAGTGGAGTTTGTAACCTGAAGCGTCTGTAACCTGAAGCATCTGTAACCCGAGGTACCACTGTAAAGCCACTGTGGATTGTCATTAGGAGATATTGGACAAGTTGTCCACAGTATGCTGATGACAGCCAGCTCTGTTTCTCTGTCGTTGAAATCAATAAAAGCTATGCATGTCCTAGACTAGTGCCTGGATGTAGCCATGTGCTAATAAACTGTGACTTAATTCAGTCAGAGACTCTGTGGATGGGTGGTTATCAGAGCCTTGAAGAGCAGGTGCATATAATGTAGGAGTGCTCCTAGATCCATCGCTGTCACTAGAGGACTGTGTGACATCAATGGTTTGGAACACCTGTCATCACTGGTTGATGTGGCAACTACAGCTTACCATTGAGATCCTCTGATGGAATTCGATAGAATGGCATAGAAATGAAAGGTCTGCTGTCATAATGAAAATTGGCTCGTTTATACTATAGGTGTGCATTGGAAAACAGAATCCTTGCTTGGTAGAGAGATGCAACCTTTTCTGGCACCCCAACACATTTCACAAATCTTGAGGAAGTATTACCTCCCCCCCCCTCCTTTCTTTTAAACTTCTCTCAAAATCAGATACTTTGCCTGAGCAGGTCTTTGCAAACTGACTTCACATTTCATCTGAAGAGAAGTATGGTAAGAAATCCGTTACGTGGCATCACCGCAGATGTTGGTGACCTTGTAGGTTGACATGTCTGAAGGTCTCAGATAAGATACAAGTATTTACAGATCCCAAAAAGCTGTCAGGAACTGCCTTTGAGAAGTGCTCAGAAACTTCAACTGGCTCACAGTGCTGTAGCCAGATTGTTGACTGGGGCCGGTTATAAGGGAGTATAACATGGTAGCTGCTCCCTTTCCTACAACAGTCCGTTTCTGGGCACAAGTCAAAGTGCTGATTATGACTATGAAGCCCTACAAGGCTTAGGACCAAGCTTTCTGAAAGACCATATTCCCTCATACAAACTTGGTTGGGTTTTGAGTTCTCCAGGGGAGGACCTTCTCTTGGTCCCACCACCTTCACAGCGTGCCTGGTGGGGAGAGTGCCTTCATGGTGGCTGCTCCCAGATGTTGGAACTCCCTCGCTAGAGAAACTAGACTGGTTCCGTCCTTGTTGTCCTTCCACTGGCAGGTGGAGACTTTCTTGTTCCAACCAGATTTTGGGAACTGACTGCTTTGAATGAAAAGGTGGCTGCTGTGCTGTTTTTATTGTAATTATTTGTATGATTCTAAAAGATTTTATATATTTATATAGGTTTAATTTTATCAATGTTTAGTTGTTTTTAGTTTTTCTCTGTGTTTTTATTTTTATCTGTAAGCTGCATTGTGTCCCATCAGGGAAGGAGAGGGGGGGAGAGAAACACACACACACACTCACACACACCACCACCACCACTCTTCCCCCTCCCACACACCATGAACACATCAGTTTCTGAACATGTGAATTTTAGCACAGTGTATACATCTATGACTGATGAGAACCACTTACTCCAAGATTTTGCAACGAACCAAGATTTCTACCTGCTTTTCATCCCTGATGGCTATTACTGAGATAACCCGTTGTGCCATTTTGAGGACATGTTTTCTGATTTGCTTTGCTGGTATTCCTTTCCTTTCCTCGATTTCTTTTTATCTTATTTATGCTTTGCCATGTGAGTTGTGTTTCTATTCAGATTGTAGTAAATTATTTATACATTAGCATCTATGCATATAAATTAGGAGGCAAATTTGTGTCCTCTTCTGCCCCCTTTTGCATGTGTGTAAGTGACCATCCTATGGGTACCATTTTCTCCACCACAAAAGCTCACGTAAGGGCAGAAAGCATGTATCTACTGGTGTCCTGTGGGGGCGTTATAACTTTGTGTGGCTGTTATAACTTTGGGGTCTCCATTTTAGCAAGGGGGGGAGGAAGGCATCGTGACCCAGCCCTGAACTTTCATCCTAATCCTGAGCCACCATAACTGAAGTTCTAAAGACAGAGGGGAAACGACAGGCTGCCAATTGTCATGAATGCCTTTTGGTTTCCTGCTATTGTGAATTATAGACTGGAGGATCCCAGTGTCCTACTTCAAACAAGGCTTTAATGCACAGCATGCAATTGGATGGTTGGCCTCTTTCTGAGAAGCAATCTGTGCAACACAGGCCTGGGAAGAATTTGATAATTTAATTATAGGGCATGGCTCGCAAACCTCTTTTGTGCCTCTAAATAGTTTTAAAGGCAGGCTTTATCTGCAAGGAGGCAGAAAGGGAGCTGGGTAACCTCAGGTTGCATGGATAAAACCAGTTCTGGGGAAGTCCACCTGACACTTCAGTACACAATGTGTGCTGAGTTTCATTACTACCTCTGAGCTAGCAGATTTCACATTCAGTTTTAATGGCCTGCATGAGATGAAAGGGTATGCCTTTGTGAAGATATTGGAACGCTTGAGATCTTATTCCTACGTGATAGCAAAACATGAACAGAATTGGTTTCAAAACAGTGTAGGCTCTTTGCCTCATTTTGGAGCTAGGAGCCTGCACACAGACTTTACTCTGAAAAATTAGAGCTTGATAAAGGTGGAAGGACAATGGTCAGTAGGCTAAAAATGCAATAATTTTCATTTTCTTGGATAGGTTCACTTTATTTGATTGTTGGCGCCATCCAGTAACATTGGAAAATAATTTCCTCCCAATATTATGTTTTGAATCATTGGAAGCACACCAGGTAGCATGTTCACTGCCAGATAGGATTTTATAGGATCTTATCGAACTGTTGCATTCCTTAACATTCCTTTAAAGGCCTTATTCCAAGAAGAAACCTCTATTTTTGCCTTGGAATACATACATACATACATATGTAATTTTATTTGTGTGCCCCCTTTCCACAGGGAAATTTTCAAGGCAGCTTACAAGAAAAGCAACAACTACAATTTAACAAAAGGTAGTCATAAACAACAAATAAAGCATTAAAAATGCAAAACCAAACTGAACAATTTCCACATAACTCTTAAAAGGTACAAGGAACCAACAGCAACAACTGTCCCAACCCCAAACCCCAACCCAAAGAACACACCAGCCCCTTTAGAAATGTCACGTTTAGTAGTGCACACACAAACATACTTGGCTAGAAAAGGTTCAAGCAATGGGCAATGATTATGAGCTCAGCTTTTTCTGTACTTGTTGCTGTGTGCTATAGAGGACATAGACATTGGGAGCTAGCCGATTAGGGCAAACGGGGCACTGCCCCACCAACCTTGGTATGCTCTCACCAACACCACATGCCTGCCTTCCCACATGCACCCATTCTAGGGAGTGGCACTGGCTGTCAACTTCCTTCTCAGCCTCAGTTTTGACCCATATTGAACTCAGCAGGGAGGAAGAGGAGGGCAAAGCTAGAATTAGCTTGCTCCAACACTCATTGGCTCTGGCTCCACTTACTGACGTCTCCTTGGCTTCCTCAACAGCCACCACTTGGCATAGTCATGTTTGGAATAACCAAAATGTATGCTATGCAACCCTTTACAGGCAATGACTGATTGATGCGCGATTGCACACACATGTGTGGTGCTGAACCTGGAAGTGACCCTAAAATGTCACTAAAAGTGGGAATGGAATGCTTTACGCAGGGCCCACTGACACGTGGTTGCGGGAGGGGTCCAGAACATAACTCCTGTTCAAAACAAGGATTGCCTGCACTCATGTAGCTGTTTTGGTGCTTTGTTTAACCGTTGAGCAGAGCAGTGCATGTTGGGTAAGCTGAAAATTGAACGCTTTTCTGAAATCTGGTAATTGGGGGAATAATTCTTTTAACAATTTCACCTAGCACTACTGCTGTCTTATTGGGAGTAGCTTTGAGTTTGACATTTTAGGAGATGAATGAGGCCTACTAATGGAAAGAAAGCTCTCTGGTGTTTTTCAATAGGTCTGAAATAATAAGGTGCTGAGTCATTTTCCAAACCACATCCTTTCCAGTAACAGGACTGTCCCCCCACATTCTCTAGCCACTGGCCGATAAGTAGGATTCATTATTTCAGCTTCAACTTGAACAGGATTTACATTCCTTTCTGGTCCAAAGCAGATCTAAATCACATTGTCAGCATGCTGCTTTTGTGCTATCACCTTAAAAAGATTTTTTATAGCTTTGCTGTACCCAGTCAGAGGCAGAGATAACATTAAGCTGCTTTCAATATGCATGTAATTTTTTTAAAAAAAATATTTTTGCTAAGGAGTCAATAAAAAATGAATAGGAAGCTGTTGGGTGATGGAGACAGAATGACACAGAGGTTTAACCCTCCTTTATTACCCGCAATGAGAGTTCAAAATCAAGCACAACATATGAAAATAAGTCACATTTCTTGAGGGGTGGCGGTAACTTTTGTGTGTGTTGTTTATTGCTTGTGTAAAATGTAAATTTGGGGGAACTATAAAGAATGTTTCAGTGGCTTTGCTTTGGGTGAAACAAATCAGAGCAGAAAGGAGGCCCCAGTTCAACTTAGCGACATTAAACTTTTTGTAAATTACTGATTTTTACAAAGTTGTATTCTCTAATGGGGCAGACCCTTCTTTCTCTGAATATTAATCTGAAGCAGTTCTTTTTAGTAATCTGCCGCTTTTCATGTTGGCCCTGTTCATGTGCCTATAACTGACTTTGACATTATTTTCTGCAATAGAGTAATATGGTTACTACTTTCAGTGTTGCGCCTTTCAACAGCAAACTCACATTGACATTTAGAAGCTTTTATTTTCCCTCCCCCAACCCCACATTAGGCAGCTATTCCTCACGTTCTCTTCATTACTTTGTACTGCATGCAAGATCATTTTTCTTTTTCCTAAGAGGAACAAATGATATGATGGTTATTATTTTGGTGCTCGCCACCAAAAACGAAGTCTCCAGGCAACTTTTGCTAGAGCCGTTTCCCAGCTTATCTGATATGTGAGGATTAGTTCTCAGAATTGAAAACTTGGAAACGTTGGCACAAAGAAAGGCCACAAGCTGTTTGGAAGCCAAGACTGCGATTAAGATGCACAAAGTTCCCTTTGCTGGCTATGGAGCAGGTTGGGGAGTCCAATGATGACTCGCTTCCTTTGACACAGTTTGTAAATTAAGTTGATCTTTCTGAGCTTACTTGGAAACCTCTTGGAGTCTGAGGCTTTCCCAGTAGTTCTAGCTCATATTATTGGTGCCAGCCCTCTCCCCAGCCATCCTTTTCCTAATGTTTACTGTTTCAATGGAAGTGGAGAGACTAACACCAAGGAGTGCTTGCAACAAAGGGAAAGGCCTCTTCCTTAAGACCTGACTGACTCACATTGCCTTGGAGAAGCACTAGGAAATATAGTTACAAGTGCTTCCTCCTGCCCTCTGTATTGGGAGGCATTGGGCACTAACTACACTTCCTACATTCTCTGCCATTGATCAGCCCCTGGAGTACATCTAAAAGCCTTAAAGATTAATATACTGCTGCTCATTCCCCACCCCTTTCGTAATGATATGTTTGGGGGAAATGGGTGTAGGATTGAGCAGAGTTTCCTGCTGGCTGGGAGGGGTGGCGCTGATCAAGCTGATGACAAATAAGGCTTAAAAATCAGAAAGCATTGAGGCTCCACTTGCAATAAGCTCCAGGTTCTCCTGTCTGGGGAGTTCATTTTCCCCAGGGGTGGTGACTCCCATTTCAGCACTAAATGTGGACATTCTGCCCTGTCGCTGTCCCACTGTTGTAAGCCAAAAATGGCTTATCTTCTGAGTTTACGCCAATGAAACTCAGAGACGAGAGAAGTTAGGAGTCCAGCATTTATCAGAAGGCCATAGGTTACAGTCGAATTGTTTCGCAAAACTGCAACCCCGCCCAAGGGTCCGGGTGGTGGTATTTATAACATTTCAAGCAAAGGATTTCAATTTACATGTACATTTCATGTTTAATACACGTGCACAATAAGCATTAGCAATTTCTGCTGATTCAGTTCTGATTTCCACTGCTTTCTGTTAAAGTTCTAATTTCTGTTACATTGTGTTAGTATGCACGTTGGGAACCTGTGTTATGTGTATTCATTTGCACCATGTAGCAACTTATGTTCTCGTTTATGAGCTGTATCTTTGTGATTCATATATTAGCTGTACTTCTGCCCCAATTGGGAGGGAGGCAGGGGGGGCAACTTGCAAAAGCATCAGTTTCATAAAGCAAAAGGTTACCATAACTTCTCTGTTAGAAGCACACTCAAGGATTTACAAGAATACACTTTATCACATTTATTGTGGCCCTTTGGGCCACCATCACACCACTGCCCCCCCTTACACGGGTTGTGTAGCAGCACTCGCAAAGTGGCAGCAGCAGTGGCATTGACTTCTGATGAGATCCTGCAAGACCGCTCTAAGATCACGGAAAATCTTGCAAGGCTTTGGTGAGATCTTGCAACATCTCAATGGAAGTTGGCACCACTGCCTGCACCGCTTCTCTGCTCGCAGTGGGGTACCAACTCTTGGGCTTCCACCCCCCAAAGTGGCTGCCTCACCCCACCTCACGGGGTGGCCCTGGTTTCTGTTCCATTGCTAATGAAAACAAAATCGTCCTTCCATACTAACTAATAGGGGTATGCCATTTTCAGATGCAGGGTTTGCTTTGAAGGGCAACATCCATAGGGGTGAAAAGTCAAACGCTTACTCATGTACAGTATAGACTGTAAGGTTTCATTGCCATGTTTACATCATATTCTTCCCTGCCACAATGCAGCTTTTTAAGCAGGAGAACTGTGGCAGAATGTATATGGCTTTTAAGATACTCAAGGTCCCCCACCCTTGTCTGCCTGCAAGAATGGCTTTCAGTATTCAACTCACTGCATGGGTTACTTGTAGGCATTAGAAATAAAATGAACAAGGCCTTTTAAGGCACCTTTTGCTAGAAATATAGTGGGGGTGCAATAGTGTGGCAGATCCACATTTATTAAGGAAGCAGATCAAGCAACACCTTTCTCAAGTCATTGCCGGGGTTGGTTACTATGGCAACTCTCTGAGGAGTGACCTCCTTTACTGCTTAAATAGACCGTGTGTGTTTTAAATAGTATATCATTTCTTAAAGACAATCAGTCTGCAGATGGATGCAATATATTAGCAATCCCTTTCTGAGAAGGGGGAGAGATTAAATAAAGATTCGGTTTTATTGCATGAGGGTTAACTGATTCGGTTTATTGCATGACAGTTTAACATCTGTAGGAGAAGTGCAGTCTGAGGCTCCGGTATCCTGTCTCTTTCTTTGCAGCTATATTTTGCATTGTATCTGTTTAAGGTGTGGCTTCATAAAAAAGAAGCAGAGGGAATCATATTCAATAAGCAGCTTTGTAAATGAAGCATCCTCACAATGATCTTAGTTGATTCATTTATGTTTTGGCATTGCTGCAGTGGGAGGTATCAGGAATTCTGTCATGTGATGTGTGTTTAAATATTGTGAATTTCAATCCAGTATGGCCCAGGACATTCTGAGCAGATGTTCTCAGCTGGAAGTTACTGCATTTTAGCCCTTGTATGTTAGCTATTAGCCCTTGGGATAGTGTAATAATGTCCCCACTGCTGTATGCACAACCATCCTTCTCCTGTCATGTTGGGCCCTTTAAAGATTTGCGCAACTTAGCCGCTGACCCAAATTCAGCTGAAGAAAGACCATCCATCACTAGTCTGAGGGTCTTATGTGTCTTGGAAGATCTTAGACAGAGCGATGAAAGGCGAAGTGCCTAATACCTACTTCTCAATGAGGTGGAAAGGCATCTGTCTGGGATGCACCATTCAGAATGTAGTTGAGGCTTACCTGATCGAATGCAGTTCCTTCCCTTGGCCCTACTCAGTTCAGAACAGAAGAAAGTGCCGGTAATTTTTTTTTGGAGGGGGGAATGTTTAGATAGGAATCATATCCCCTTTACATATAATAATATATGTAGGGGAGGGCAGGGTATTTATTTATCTTTTTACCCCAGGAAGCAAAATAGCGTGAGCCTTAGTATGCAGATATTTATTGATTCATTGGAAGTGAGAAATAAATAAGAAAGCATCGTTTTTTAAAGTGCTGCAAAAGTAGAGTATTGCATTATCAAAACTATTCGGTAATTCCGGTATAATTTTCAGTCAATGTTTCCAATTACATGTCTCAGGAAGGAAAGCACTTTTAAATTACAGTTGACAAGACGGTTTTAATTGAAGTATGGAAGGAGAATGATGTGTAATTTTCAGATCTAAGTAGAAAGAAGAGGAATTTATGTGCCAAAAGCTTGATTCTTGATATTAGGGGTGATGGTGTGTCTTTTTGGATGTACTTTTGTGAGAATTTGTGAGTTTTCCGCCATACATAATTATGATTACCTCTCTTCTACCTGAGTAGAGGACAGAGGGGGTACTTTTCCTAAACAGTTACGAAAATGGTTTGAAGTTACCTTTGCTACATCCTGCAACTCTGTAATTGTTAAATCTCAATTCCCAGGTAACACTAAAATGAAGCCATTAAGGTGGTGGGATTTTCAGCAGACAGGAGAGGGATGGTTAACTCTTCCATGTCCCTCCCTCCTGGGCTTTCTCCTGTCAGGCTTATATTTGGTCTTGGATCTGAAGAAGAGAAAAACCAGGTGTTTGTGTGGAGGGGGATAGAATCAGCAGGCAAGAGGTTGAGTGCCACCCTTCCATTCAGCAATTCTCTCCTGAAAATTTCCCCTGAGGTTCTGGAATTTTGTGTTTGCCTCCTTATAATGTGTGGTTCTACTCTAAGGTCTATCGAAAGAAGGGAACTGGAGGGTTACTAGTCAATCAAAGCCAGCATGAGGGAATCTCTCTTAACAGCAATAGTAAAAAGCATGCCACTGAGACTGTCCCTGAGATCCAACTTGGCAGGTGCTCAAAAGGTTTTTACCTAGAATTTTGCTGTCCTTACCAGTATTTCATTCTCAGCCACATTAGTCAAAAAACAGCATTTTGAATGTGTTATAAACATGCAGCACTAGATGGCACTGGAGAGCAAAAGAAAATATTTGCGATTTTCCATAGCGTTTTTTTCTTTTAATTTCTGACAATTTAGTTTCTGACTTATGTATAGTGTTTTCCCCCTGTGTGTAGATCCACCCCTTTGAGAACAGGAGGATTAAAAACTCTAGAATGCTTGCTCAATTTTTACATCCTGTTCTTCTACTTTATGTGAGTTTTTCTTTTTAGAGAAAATATTGTGGTCATAGCAAGAGGCTCTTTCTGCGTGCACTCAAAAGGTGTTCTGATTATACTTTTTAAATAGAACCTGTTTCCTATTGAAAAGGATTGGCATATGCTTTCTCCAAAGCATTTTACCCCCAAGTGATCTTTTAGCTGTATTCAGAGGCAATTAAACTCAGGAGCAAGATTAAAGGGGGGGGAGGTGGTGGCAATACTATTCACAACTTCTTAAGAAATTGAGCTACTTTATCAATTGCTCCTACTCTGTTGGGCTAAATTAAGCCACATTTATATATCTGCTATAATAACTCATAGCAATTTTAATAGAAAGTAGCATGTCCGTGCTGGGAAGCCCAGTGCTTAATGAATTTTTTCAATGTTGCAAGGCAGATAGACCTACAAACCCAAAGTCCTTGACACTGCATGAAGTCAGAGTAAACAAAGTAAACAAATGATAATGTGGATTCAACATGCGTTAGTGTCTGAATTATGTACTTCTGTTGTATAGAACTTTGAGATGCTGGCTGGTGCATGGTAAAACAATTAGGTGCCAGCTTCACCCTGCACTGAATCTATTTTCTCAATTTCATCATGATAATTGTTTCTGTTAAAGTTACAGGAAGAGTCCTGTTGGATCCAGCTAGTCCTGCATTCTGTTCCTACAGTAGCCAGCCAAATGTTCATAGGAAGTCGTCCCCAGAAACACTCTCCTTTTCCTGCTCCCTGATAGCTGGTATTCAGAAGCATATGTCCTCTGACAGTGGAGGTAGCACACAGCCATCAGGGCTAGTAGCCGTTGATAGCATTATCCTCCACGGCAGGACAAGTTCTCATGGCAAATATTGATGTGAAAGCAGACTAGAGCAGGAAACTGAAGTGGTGTGTAGGCACAGAGAGGAGAGTGAAGTGGACAGAGGGCTGCGGCTTTAAAAAGGAAAGACAAACATACTTCCTTTCTCCCAGATTTTAAAAACCTGTTTTGCACTTGAAAAATGAAACTCGGCTAGAATATTTTTAGATGGTTTGTGTATGAATAAATTTAACAGGTGATTATCTTAAATGGCGTATTGATTTGCTTGGTGAAAGAGGTTTACAGCTTTCCCAATACACTGTGGGAGATAATTGCTTGGGTTGGAAACAAGCTTACCCCTTTCAAATCACCTCTTTTTCCAAGCCACCAACTAGACTCCAGAAATAAAGAAAAAAGGCCTTATTTCCTTTTGCCTTCACATATTTACATGTGCAATGTCTGTGATGGAACGATTTTTTGATCTTCCCAACTAGTATTGCAGAATACCCTTGGTTAAATTCAAGGTCATCCATTCCAGATCTTGCATTGATCATCTGCTTGGGCAAAAAAACACTCTGCAGGGAAAGCTAGGTGAAGTATTCTATATAGAAACTGAAACACTGAAGCCCCCAAATACAACTCCCGCCTTTCCCACTCACCTTAGCCAGTGACCAGGGTTGTAGTCCCCACCATCTAATGATGCAAGGTAGAAGAACACTAGTCTACACTACAGTGTGGTGTTCCCAGCACTTAAGATATGGGGGAGAGGGCAGTGATGGACAAGTTTCATTCATTCATTTCAAAAATTATATCCAGCTTTTCACCATGTAGATCTCAAAGCAGCTTACAACAATAGGAATAATAATAATAATAATAATAATAATAATAATAATAATAATAATATCATCTTATTTCAGCCCCCAACAGAATATTAAAAACACGATAAAACATCAAACATTAAAAACCTCCCTAAACAGGGTTGCCTTCAGATGTCTTCTAAAAGTCAGATAGTTGTTTATTTCCTTGACATCTGATAAGAGGGTGTTCCACTACCAAGAAGGCCCTCTGTCTGGTTCCCTGTAACCTCAGGTATACTGGGCCGAGGCCGTTTACAATATTTAAAACATAAATTTCCAAAATTTATAATGGGAATTTATTATCTATTAAAAGTGTGGAGGAAACTGTTAGGATCGTCCTACTCTCATGTAGGACCCTGGCAGAGACACATGCCCGACTGACATGTTCTCTCCCTCCTGGTCGATTATTCAGGAGCTTCAAAAGCTTTATTCAACCTGAACATCACAATACCAAGATACCAAGAATCATCAGCGCACTTAGGGATCTGCAGAGTATTTGCAGTTTGCGTAACAGATCTCAGTAGCACAGCATTTTGGCTAATCTACTTTTATTTACATATAATACACTTGGAGCATTCTGCTTTAGCTCCTTCCTCTTTCTCATCAGACAGCAAAGAGAGAAAGAACAAAGGACAATAGTCCCACTTCGTGGAACACAGTAACACAAACATCCTGACTCCATCACTTCCCACACTGTGGAATGAAAACATACACCATCATGTGATAGACAACAATCTCATGACTGCAAACACGGAGAAAGAATCCAATCAGAAACATCCAAGAAGCATGCAGAGTGCAGAACAGTTTTGAGTGGTGTCTGAAACTCAGATCTGTCTAACTTATTGTAGTAATTTGTGCTATAGAATTGGATCTATAACACTGAAGGCACAATTCATTGACACGAGTCAGGTTTTTGGCCCATTGTGAACCACTGATGGAGTTATCCTGCGATGATCTCAACTTGGGGTGTACAGGGGAAGGTGGTCCTTAAAGTATCCTGGGTCCAAGTTATCCAGGGTTTTGTGCACTAGTACAATAATTTGAACTTGGCCCAGTAGCAAATAGGAAGCCAGTGCAGGTCGTTTAGCACCAGCATAATGTGTTAATGTGTCATAGTCTAGCTGCAGTTTTCTGTGCTAGCTGAAGTTTTTGGAGCCAGCTCCAAGGGCAGCCTCACATAGAGCATGTTGCAATAATTCCTGTCTTGCGGTTACCAGCACATGACCAACAGTGTCCAGGAATGGTCATAGCTGACATACAATTATGGTTTAAGGAATACCTTCACACTATGTACCTGCTCCTTTGGAGGGACTGCAACCCCACCCAGGACAGGTAACTGGCCCATCTCCTGGGTCTGAGAGCCACCCACCCACCAGGCATCTGTTATATTTTTCAATCTCACCACTGCATCCACACACTGGTCCTGGTCTTATATAGCCTCTCCTGAATCAGATGTAATGGAGAAATACAACATACAGGTTACACCTTGCCTCTAAGGTCCCAATGGCTACTCTCAGCAGCTTTATACAGATATGTTAAACAAATCGTTCTCTGTCTTGCTTTGAAGGTAAGGATGGTTATGTGGGGGTGGTTTGGGTATACACGTTTCTGTGTATACGCACTAACCCTAGAATGTAACCCCTATGCAAGATGAGATCATACTGTTACATGTGAAGTCTTCTGCAGTCAGCCCCACTGTCTCCAGATTGCCATTTCTATGGAAGTCAAGGGAAGCACATTCGAAAAAGCATTGGGAATTTTATTTTGCTTCCTTGCAAAGTACAACTTTATCCATCTAATCCATTTTTAAGCCATCTGCACTGTGTAGATATGCTGTGAGTTTAAGCAATTAACTAGACCCCTTTATCTGTGAGTTTTGTTTTGGGAAATCTCTCGTATCACTTGCTTTTGCTGTTTGAGTTTATGATGAAAGCTGTCAAGTGGTAGTCAGGAAAGCAAAACTGTGTTACATAAAATGCTAAATTGCTCTCTTCTCCATCGAAAGGAACTGTGGAGTGATGAAAAAGACCAGTGTTATCATATTGGGTCTTTTGAATTTTCTAGGCTGCAGCTGCAGCTGATAATTCAGTTTTTAAAAACCGCAGGAGGTTGTTCACACTACAAACGTAAAGCAATTTACGGAATGTGATTATCAGCTATCCACTGTCTGTTTACCAGTTGATAATTTTGCTGATTCTGCCAATTGTATCATTAATTGTTTCTGCCTTTACCAGAGTTTTGTACTCACAGATTGAAGGTCATGCTGCTTAAGGAAAATTAAGTTCAGGTTTCTCCCCCACCCTCCACTCTTGAAAAGCAACCTTATTCTGAGCAGGCTGTATGGTATGAACAACATTTTATGGAAGTGAGAGCTGGACCATAAAGAAGGCTGATCGCAGAAGAATTGATGCTTTTGAATTATGGTGCTGGAGGAGACTCTTGAGAGTCCCATGGACTGCAAGAAGATCAAACCCATCCATTCTGAAGGAAATCAGCCCTGAGTGCTCACTGGAAGGACAGATCCTGAAGCTGAGGCTCCAATACTTTGGCCACCTCATGAGAAGAGAAGACTCCCTGGAAAAGACCCTGATGTTGGGAAAGATGGAGGGCACAAGGAGACGGGGACAACAGAGGACAAGATGGTTGGACAGTTTTCTTGAAGCTACCAACATGAGTCTGACCAAACTGCGGGAGGCAGTGGAAGACAGGCGTGCCTGGCATGCTCTGGTCCAGCAGGTCACGAAGAGTCAGACACGACTAAATGACTTAACAGCAGCAACAACAATTTTGGGACAGTGGTCGAGAAGTAACCTCACAGTGGTTTTCAGCCCTGATAAGCCTAATGAAGAGCTGGCTGCTCTTTGGACAGGCAGTGACTTGAGATCACAACATATGTGGAAAGATTGTTAAAGCTAAGGAAGTCTAACCCTGGTGCGTTCTCATGTGAGAGACCGACAGCGAGTTCCAGGCAACCTGCTCCAGACTTCTCAAACTAAAAGCAGGATACAAGTGTAATAAAATCATTTAACAGTTGCTAACATATCTTAGAAAAATGCATTTCCCAGCAATAAAACATGCTTCTAAAATTGAGCTGACGGAACACACCAGCAAGGGGATAAAACAGCTCTATAACAGTGTATATGCGATGATGACTAGCCAGTTGGAACTGTGGCAAGTTCTATGATTGATAACTTGTTTACGAGTGCACTGTTTTCTTTGAAGGCCAAGGCTTCTACACGATCTAAATGGTTAACACTCTCAGATATATATGGCAAAGTCCTGGGATGATGGCAGTGGTGGAGGGAGACATTCTCTATTTTCAAGGTTTCTCCTTAATAGGATGTCAAGATATTTTTTATATGGAATGTATTCCACAATTTCTTAAACCCTCAGGGGATGTTCATACTTCACAAAATCCATATACTAGGTCTTTTACCTGCTGTCCAGTCATATCTTTTTGGACTTGATACTGCTATGCAGCCTCCTCTTCTTGGGCATAAAAGCTACTGAAGCAAGGCTCTTGCTTTCACCTTACTCCCTTCTCTTATGAGGGATGGCAGTAAGGAAGATGTGCAATAAACTTGGCAAGAACCATACCCATAAATAACCATTTCCCATGACCTGCTTGGAATGGAATTAACCCTTTTGTGGAATCACATAGACTCAACTGGAGAACCAAACTGTAGTATGTTTTATCTGTGGTCTGCCTTTTTGTATATGAAAAAAATATTGTTTGTTGCTGACAGGGCATAATTTCCTTCCTTCCTTAAATTTGTCATGACCTTTACATTACAGTGGTACCTCGGGTTACATACGCTTCAGGTTACAGACTCTGCTATAGTAAATAGTACCTCAGGTTAAGAACTTTGCCTCAGGATGAGAACAGAAATCGTGCTCCGGCGGTGTGGCGGCAGCAGGAGGCCGCATTAGCTAAAGTGGTGCTTCAGGTTAAGAACAGTTTCAGGTTAAGAACGGACCTCCGGAACAAATTAAGTACTTAACCCGAGGTACTACTGTATTGACTTTTACATTGTAGCTAGCAAATAGTTGGGGGTGGGGGCATGTTTCCATGACCTCTTGCACAAAGACACTATAGATCAGGCTTCCTCAACCTCGGCCCTCCACATGTTTTTGGCCTACAACTCCCATGATCCCTAGCTAGCAAGACCAGTGGTCAGCGATGATGGGAATTGTAGTCTCAAAACATCTGGAGGGCCGAGGTTGAGGAAGCCTGCTATAGATGTATGCCTGCATTAAGGATACCTGTTTTATGCAAATCTGAGCGCTTCGTTTTTAATACTTCTCCTGCTCCTGGGAGAACAGGGAGGAGGGGAATTTGTCACAGCAGGAAGGGGAGACACCCTGGCTTTTTCACCAGCCTAACTCATCTCTGCTTCTTGGCTCCCCTCCTCTCTGGCCTCCCCTTCTGCCTCTGATTCTGGACTGCTCTCTGCCACAGACACTTCCTGCTCACTAAGCCCTGCTACCTTTTCAGGTTCCGACACCTCCTCCTCCCAATCTTCTGCCTCTGACCACTCACCATTATCCCACCACTAATCCCCTGGCTCTGAGCCTTCTTCCCTTGGGGGTTCCCCAGCTGGTACCTCCCACCATTCCTCTGTGTCCAGCCAGGCCATGACACTTGTTGTTCAAAGGTAAGGCTCTCATCCACTGCCCACTCTTGCCTCTGGTCCCAACCATCACTAGTGTGTGGAAGGTTCACCACAAGGAAGTGTACCCCTTGGGCTGAAAAAGTTTTTCTACTCTTGGCCTCGCTGATCAATCATGCAATGTGTAATTTGTGGTGGGTGCAGCTTAGGCAATGTGAGAGTGTGATACAATGTGAGAGTGTGATACAAATATATTCCATTTTTTTAAATCCATAAAAGGTTTGAGGGTGTTCATTTGGTGACAATTCTGTCTTTTTGCAATGCCTTTAATGCAGTTATAACCCCACCAAATCTGCTGTTATATGAAAAATGTACTGATAAATGTGTCTGCTGTTGAAAGGCAGACATTTGGTATACGTTGTGGTGCATAAGACATTGTATTTGCATGTTTTGGGGTGGGTATATTCTGTACTTGATAAATGAGCATTCTTTGACAGCACTGTCTTGAAATAAACTCCTAAACGTAGAAGTATCATAAAGTAGTTAGTGTTGATTTAAAGCAGAGCCTGTCGTGCCCAGCGGAAGGATGAGTAATACGTGCTACATACTCTATATTGCTTTATTTACAGTTCAAAGCTGGTATATTACAGAAAGACATCTTGCCTCTGCAGGAGCAGAAAATGCATCCTCTCTCCTCGACAGCTTGGAGAGAAACACAGAGTGAAAAACAGGAAACCAGTGTACGTCACATCCAGTCTCCCTTTCCCGTGAGAAACTCCAACAGTACAGACTGTGGAATGTAAACAACTGTCTTGTGACTGCAGTTGCTGCTCAGTGAAGGAAATAGAAACCAACATCCTCCCCTTTCTGTGAACATCACTGGGCAGCGTGTTCGTACAATATCAGTACAAACCCAACTTCTGCACATAGGTACAGTGTTGATCCCTTGATACAATCTTGGATAATACATCAGCAGGAATTTCATTACCTGGCATATAGGACACCGTTACGAGTCCCTTCTGAATACATTCCCTAGCATGCTGCAACTTTAATTGCAAGTGCTTTGTGCTTTGCTTACAACCTTCAGACTTGAGCAAAGCTAAACATGCTTTGTTGTCCTGGTAAACCTGGATTGGACATTTGACAGGAATTTTCATATCTTTGCACAATTGTACTAACCATTCACAATCCTTAAGTGAATAAGACAGTGCATTCAGTTCAGCTTCACAAGTACTTAAGCTAACTGTTGTTTGCTTCTTGCATGACCAATCAAAAAGACTCTGATTGTACATGTAGCAAACTCCAGACGTACTTTTCCTGTCTGTAGTGTCACTTCCAAAACTTGCATCTGCAAATATCTCAAGACCACCAGACTTCTGATTGTTAAATCTCAGTCTGTAATGCATAGTGCCTTTCAAATACCGCGCTATGCGTTTCAGAGCTTTCCAATCCTTGACACTAGGATTGTTGACTTGTCTGCTTAGCAAATTACAGCTAACAGCAATGTCTGGTCTTGAACATCTGGCAATGAAGTTTAGCTTGCCTAGCACACTCCTGTACAGTGTAGTGTCAGAAAATGCTTCTTCAGTGTCATCTACCTGATAACCTGTTGTCATCGGTGTGTCTACAGGGTTAGCATCCATCAGATTTAGTTTGCTTAACACATCAGCAATTTTCCGTGACTGGTGTACTAGAATGTTACCATCTTGATCTCTTTCTATTTCCAGAGATAGGTAGTTGTTTACCTCACCAAGATCTTTCATGTCAAAGTGCTCTTTCAGTTGAGCTAGGGCGCTATTGTACATTGCAACATCTTTCCAAAAGAATAATAAATCATCAACATAAAACAAACAGTACAGTTTCTTTTGCCCCTCCTCTTTGACAAATACACATGGATCAGCTTCCCTTGCTGAAAACCTAGAGAAAACAATACTTCAGTGAGTTTTGTGTGCCAACACCGTGCACTTTGTTTCAGACCATAAAGGGATTTCTTCAGAGCACAAACAAATCCCTGTCTTACCTGTACGCCATCAGGTGGAAGCATATAAAGTGATTCATCTAGAGATCCGTACAGAAAAGCTGTATTGATATCATGGTGACTAATGTGTAGATTTTCCTCTGCAGCTAGCTTAAGCATAAGCCTAATGCTTTCATATCTCACTGTGGGTGAATAGGTCTCGTGATAGTCTTCACCTGGTACCTGTGCAAAACCTCTGGCTACCAATCTGGCTTTGTGTCTGACTATCTTGCCATTTTGATCTGTCTTCGCTTTGAAGACCCATTTGCTTCCAAGCAGTTTCATTCCTGGAACTACTGGAACTAGCTCCCATGTTTTGTTCCTTTCTAAGGAATCAAGCTCAGCCTTCATGGCATTTAACCATGGCTCAGCTTCCTTTGAATCCAAACCCTGGATTTCTTGGAAACTTGAAGGTTCAAATACCTTCTTGGAGCTTTTAACAGCTGTTACTGCTATCTTAGCAAACTCATCAGCAAATCTCTTTGGAGGTTTGCCTTTGTGGCTCTCTGTGACCTACGAATTAGCCTTAAGTCTTCAACACTCTCCTCTTCCTTCTTAGGAGAAAAACGACCTATTGTGAACAATGGTTCCTCCAATTCTTGATCAGAGCTTTCAGAGGGTCGCATAGAGGCTTTCGCACTCTTGAAATCCTCTGAATCACCCGATTCAGTTTCAGATTCAGACTCAGAACCTTCATCAGTGGGTGTGG